GGGGCAAAGAGATTAACATACAGAGGGATAATATGACATGTAATTAGGATACATACATAATTATTACACATAGAGAGAGGGGGTGGAGTCGAAGAATAATCACTCATACAGAGTGGGTAGATATTATTTATGGAGAGAGAAACATAAGGAAAGTAAGATTAGAAGAGAGAAAAAAGGGAGAGAGAGGGTGGGGGCAGACGGACAGGCAGAACGACAGACAGACAGAGTGTGAAAGAGTGAATATAGGGAAAACTTACAGACAGACAGAGAGTTAGAATGTCAGGAAGACATTGTTGAGTTGGGACAAAAGGAACGATAATTTAAAAAACCAGTGACAGACAGTGGGAGTACATGTTACATTGTAAAAATGGTTTACATACAGAAATAAAAACGATTTCTTACCTTGTAAGGGCACATCGCTTGTCCTTTCTTGGTTTCAGGTCCGTGGAAGCCGAGACTGGTGTTCCATCTGGTCACTTTGGTGTCGCCGTTCTTCAACCGTCCTGACAGGCCAAAGTCACATAAAACTGCGTGGTCTTCCTCGTCTACAAGAACATTGGCTGGCTTGATGTCTCGGTGGTAGATTCCTCGACTGTGTGTGTATTCTAGCGCTGTTCCGATGTCACGAATATACCGAAGTACTTGCGGGGGCTCCAAAAATCTGAACTTCGCGTCCAGGCTCCCTCTCGGGTAGTACTTTAAAACAATATATCCGTGGCGAGGGTTGGCGAAAGACGTCACTAGCGAGACGATACGTGGATGGCTAAGCTCCTTCAAGAAATCAACTTCCTTGATGAACCCCCACTCATTACAACCGTCGTATTTCGCTAGGTCGAATATCTTCACCGCACATTTCCTGGATACGTCGTCTCGAGATGATGCAAGAACGACATCGGCCGTGGCTCCTTTGCCAACCAAGGTGCCTCTATTCAAGTTCAAGGCGTCGAAGGCAGCAGCATGCTCGTCAACTTTCTTCATCGCCATGTCGTACAACGGGACGCAAATTCGATTGCTGAACTCAAGGAACGATATACACTGGAAGCAGGTTCTGACTGAACTGACCACAGACGCCAATGTCTACGGTTTTTATATCATCTGGTGTACGCGGATGAGTTCTTGCCCTTAGGTCTAAGACTCAATCAGGGGGGATAAATTACAAACCCACTGACCATGGCGGCTAACATGAAAGAAGTGTCAACACCTCAGCGGCCATTGTGTGCCCGGGCCAGCTGGCGACTGAGTGAACCAAGTTTGAAATCTTTGATTGTGACATTGTTGTTGTTTGTTTTGACAGTATGCTATGGAGAGGAAGGTGTTACCGGGAGTCCCTGTACCGCTGATGACGACATTGTTGTGTTGTTTTGATAGCTTGTCGTGGAGGGCAAGGTGGGGAACTCTAAGTTCTGGCCCGCCTTTGTTTCTTGTTGTTTTTTGGGGAAAGATGTAAGACAAGCTGGTCAGAGGGGCAATTTGTAAAATACTCTTTGGAACATTCCTTGTGTATTGAAATGTCCGAAGAAAATATTTAAAGATGGCATTAGCTATAGTGATGTATGGTTGTTATAGTTTAAAAAAAATTCATATAATGTATTTGCCTCAGTTAATATCCGACATAGTGAAGGTCACCTAGCGCAACGGAAAAGTGAAGTCTCTGGCTGTTAAAGAAATAATACGCTGCTAGAACCTCCAAAAACAGCTTTTGCTTCGTGACTTTCAAACTTTCTGTTTATTCTTTTATTATAAATGCCTTTTAACATGAATTTAGCTTCATTCGTTTTTCCTTTTTTTCTTACATTTTTTACTGCCTCTATCAGAAACAAGATCTTGAGACCATAGCTCTTTAGGTACTAGATATTATGGGCAAGTTGTGACAATCAGGCAATTGTTTCGCGAAGAAATAAATTTGGACAACATTACGCCTTTGAAAAATTCTGAACTAGTTTTATGTTATTCAATCCAGTCTACGCAATGCCAACATCGTTCATAATGTACCCGGCTAGCTGGTCAGGGAGGTAACCGAGTTTTGACCCTCGGGCGATGACACTGTTGTGTTGTGTGGACAGTTTGTTGTGGAGGGGAAGGAGAGAGCCTGTAAGTCCCGGCCTGTCTTTGTTTATTGTTGGTTTTTGGGAGGCTTTCTGGTTAGGGGGGGGGGGGAGGTTGGGAAATAATATTGTATTGTATCCATTGTGTATTGAAATGAAGTAAAGGCAGAATTAAATAACGGCCTATTAATTTTATAATAGTTGTTTGATCTAAAGCTTTTTAAAAAAATACGAGTTGAATATTCGAAATAGTGAAGTTTACTGACTGATAGTGAAAAATGTAAGCTCTGACAGTTACAGAAATAAAAGACACAATAACCTCCATCCACAAACTTTTACTTTTAAACCGTCGCCCTTTTTTCCCCCATTCATTCTCTGACTGGTGTTGTTTTTGTTTTTTATTAATTGATTTTAAAAGGTTTCCTTTTTAATTATGTTTTTTTGTTCTCTGGCAGTAGCAGGGTTTGTATCAAGGGCATAGCCCATTGGTAGCGAAAGACATGTTGTTACAAATGCGACATCATTTCACTAGAAAATAAATTAAAATTCTTTGTCGAAATCAAAAGATTAGTTTGTACCTTGAATAACTTTTGTTTATACATAAAATGAAGGATTTAAAGTGGACTCTTCTGCACTTCAGCCGAGTCTTAACAAAGCCATCAACGCCCATTGTGTACCCGGGCTAGCTGGTAAGGGAGTGAACCAAGTTTTGAATCTCTGATGATGACATTGTTGTGTTGTGTGGACAGTTTGTTGTGGAGGGGAAGGAGAGAGCCTGTGGGTCCTGGCCGGTCTTTGTTTATTGTTGGTTTTGGGAGACATGGGAGGCTAGCTGGGTAGAGATGGGGGG